AAGGAAGGGAGGAAGGGAGGGAGGGAGGGAGGAAGGAAGGAAGGAAGGAAGGAGAAAGGGAGGAAGGGGAGAGGAGGATGCTTACTGGTTAAGAACAGGCAGTTTAAGTGCACCTTCATGTCCACAAAGACATTTCAGCACTCGAGTGTTAAAGGACTAAGTGCTTTTTTTGGTGGTGGTGGGTTTGGGGTTTTGTCAAACTTGTTGAAAACACACGCCTGTGCTACATGAGGTTAATTTCTGTAGTCCATATGTGTTTAGATCCTTTGCGGTGAGCTATAAACGGAGAAAACAACATTCAGGCTCCCCAGACCACCCTGAGTCCTAATGATCCAGCCCAGTCACCTAGCAAAGAAAAATTGCTGCACGCAGCACTTTACTCTCTATATATGCAGAATGATTACAATTCTGCTCATTAAACTAAGGTGTGCAAACGCAACTGTGGCAGAAGTTTTTACCAAAGAGAGGCCTCATTTCCCAGATGCTACTTTCTGTTCATCGGTCCCTCAGCACTGAATTGATTATTGCTGTTTAGTTTAGTCAGTTAGTTGTTATACGAGCTGAGTGCAGCATTCAAGTCCATTTTGACGTGAGAAGTCCTACCCTTGAATTCAAGAGTTTGGGAAGATCAGGATCACTAGAATTTAGTATGGAGAGAGGTGTACAATGGGCAAGGGCGTGAGCGGGGACAGGAAGGAACCTTTGCAACATCTTCCTAGAGGATGTAATGTCCTGTTTTATCTGACGCTTTGCATTTCCTGCAGAAGTTAGAGCTCCCTCAGTTCTCAATTACTTTCTCATCATTAAGATTATCAGAAGCCACACAGTGAGAAATAAAGTCAAGTCTTTCTGGAAACCTGGCAGATCAGGCTTGTGCGTAACTGCAGAGTTAGGGTTTGGGTTTTTTTTACTCTAAGTGCCTTGATTTTATATACACGTGTGTCTGCACATGTGTGAGACACACACATACACAGACACACATATATATTTATACACATATATACATATATCAGAAAGATAGGGGAAGAAAGGATCTGTACAATGTGGAAGGAGAAGTGTTCAACAGCAGTTGGCCACATGCTAAGTGCAGAATGAAGATCCTCAACTTTGTCCACTTCAAAAATAACGATTAGTGCCTACATTAGCTCAGTTCAAGGGTTACTATCTTCCAGGGCCTAGCAATCAAGGCTGGCAAATTGCAGAGGATACCTTCTCCTAGCGTTGCTTCCTTCACCAGGTGATGGTGGAAGTACAGTAAGTTTAGGGATCAGAAAGAAGAATATGGCTCAGAGGATCTGTGATGGGATTTAAGATCCGACAGACTGCTGAAAGGGGACAGAGGAGGCAGGGATGGGAAGGCACTGGTAAGCCACTCTCAACTACCTGCTGGGGAATCCAAGGAAAACAAAAGCACGGCCCTGCAATCTAGTTGCCTGACTGGGCGATGCCGTAGTTCATGCTGGTCCCTACTTCCTCCTGCATCCCGTCCTGCTGGGACAGGCTGCCAAAAAGCCATCTCAGGGAAAGGAATGGCAGATACAGTGATGGCAGCGATGCCTCTATAAACAACCTAGGGAAACTTGAAGTCTTGCATAAACACAACTCTGAGGTATTTGGCAGAAGCAAATGCTAAGCCCTGCAGCATGGGACTAGCAGGGGAAGGAAGGTATCCCACGGGCGCTGGTGGTCTCTGCCCAGCTCTTCAGTGTCCCTCTCACTCACACTTGCTCCTTCTTTCTCTACCCCCTTCTGTGGTGTGCCAGCAGGCAGCACAGGACACTCCTGACAGTGTGCTGGTGCCTTGCCCTTTCCTTCGCTACCTCTGATTAGCTCAGTTCCTGGAGGCACTTTCAGCAATTTGGAGGATGTAAGATAAAAGGCACTGTGCAACTATCTAAATCAATCTGTTGAGTCTCTTCAGTGAGTTTTAGGGGAATACAAAAACGTCTCACCTAATGACTGCAAAAGAAACCAGCTGCTGCAATTTGGATGCATATAATAGGTAAGTTTCATTTACATTCTGAGAATGCACCAAAAGCATGCATCTGCACCTTTCAACTATAAAGGATACTAGGTTTTAGGTGTTGCTATATATAACTTGACTTCTACATTTTCCGTATAGCTTTCCCTTAAAGGGATGGGTATGTTCCTTTCCAACAATGCCTGGACAAAAGCCAACACATTTCCCTGAGCAATGCAGGAAAACAAACAGGTTTCTCTAATCAGTTCATTCAGGCCCTCGGTCTATCAAGCACTTTTTTAAAATTTTGTTTTTATTGTTATTATTATCATTATTATTATTATTGAGTTCATGCATTAATTAATTCAAGTTACACCTTAATCAAATAGGCCATAATGCTGAATATTTTAACATGCTTTGATCTCCAAAAGTTATTGTTCCCATTTGACTAACATACGCACTTAAATACAGTACTTTAAATTACTAGTCAATGATTTAATAAATTAAGGAGTGCACTTCTGGTGAATGCAAATCAAAAAGAAAAAGGAAAGAAAAAAGAAAGAAAAAAGAGAGATAAAGGACCTATTTTTAGAAGATTCAGTTCAAACGAAAGCTTATCCGCTATTGTCTGAGGTAACGTTTCAGGCATGCGATTATAAAATAAATAGTATCAAATTCAAACATGCTTATATTAAACTCCATTGTGCTATCTTGCAACAGAGGGGCTTAAAGTTTTGTATCCAGTTCTGGACAAGGGAAAGGAAAGGTGTGTTTAAATCATCTGCACGTGAGAGAACTTAGCAGCATTGCAGATGTTTTGTTGGTTACTTTCCTTTTAGTTTCTCTATGGACAGCAAGAGAGACCAGGCTTAAGTACGTCTTTAATAAGGTGCTGTGTGGATCTGTAGATTGGAAGTACGGAATCTTTCACATAGGGGGCAGAAGGAAAACTGGCGTTCCTTCACAAAAACCATAGCAAATACTTGCCGCAGGGTTTTGCTAATCTTTTTTTATTGTTGTTATCTGATGCACTTTCTTGCAACTGTGCAGTTTCGCAGAATATTTTTACTGGAATCCATGCATATGCGTTATAGCTCTAAAAACTGTCTTGCTTAGTTTACGTTAACTTCATCAAAAAAAAAAAGAAAAGAAAAGGGAGATGAAAAGTTTAGGTCTCGAATCATACAGCTTAAAACTAAACTAATTCAAACGGTTATCACTTATGGGGTGGAAAATGTTTTTTAAAAATAAACAAAATCTTATCTTTCATGGATCCTGGAAGCTTCTTTATCGCTGAGCAAAAATTCGCAATGCAACAATGCATTTACGAGGTAAATAAAGCATTCAAAGACTATCAGTAAAGCATCTACAAAGTGTGACCGTGTCACTAAAGTCTTCAAGCTGTGAGTGGGGATTTGGGATTTTGTTTACACATCAGTCAGCAGCTTGCTTTTATTAACACAGTTTTGGTTGGCTACAGTGCAGTTGCCAGTTCTGAGATTAGCCTCTCTAAAATTGTCTATGCTATTATTCATATCCTCTTCGATTTCCATGTACTCAGATTTGCTGATTGTGGAGGAGCTGCGGCGACTGAGATCACTGTCAGATGCTAAATTAGGGGAGCTAACATGAAGTAACTGAGCCTGTTCTTCCCCTTCTGTTTCTCGGTGGTAGAAGTAGTTGAAGTTGGACACGATGACAGGTACAGGCAGGGCAATTGTGAGCACACCCGCGATGGCACACAAGGAGCCTACGTTTTGCCTCCAATTGTCACAGGGTACATGTCACCATAGCCCACAGTGGTCATGGATACCACCGCCCACCAGAAAGCATCAGGGATACTTGTGAAATGAGACTCAGGTTCTTCAGCCTCAGCAAAATATACCGCACTAGAGAACAAGATCACCCCAATGAAAAGGAAGAAGATTAGTAAACCTAGCTCTCTCATACTTGCTTTGAGGGTCTGTCCCAAAATCTGGAGGCCCTTAGAGTGCCGGGAGAGTTTGAAGATTCGAAAGACTCTTACCAGTCTGATGACTCTCAGGATGGCCAAGGAGGTAGCCTGCTCTCCTTTCTGAGTCCCCTCCCGCTCAGCCATCTCAGTGCCCAGGGTGATGAAGTAAGGGATGATGGCCACAATGTCAATGAAGTTCATGATATTCTTGAAAAATTCAGTCTTGCTGGGGCAAGCAAAGAAGCGCACCACCAGCTCAAAGGAGAACCAGATGATGCATAGGGTCTCCACAACAAAGAAGGGATCTGTGAAGATGTTGGATTTGTAGACCTGGGTGGTGTTGTCAGTGCGATGCACTGTATACTCCTTGTCCTCCTTCAGCTCAGGTAAGGTCTCGAGGCAGAAGATCACGATGGAGATGAGGATCACCATGACAGAGACTATTGCAATGACCCTTGCAGGCCCAGAGCTCTCTGGGTACTCAAAGAGGAGCCATACTTGGCGCTGATACTCCCCTTCTGGCAAGGGTCTCTCCTCATCTTTGATGAATCCTTCATCTTCCCGGAACTTCTCCATGGCCTCCTCACCCAGCTCATAAAATTTGATCTCCTCAGAGAACATGTCCAAGGGGACATTGACCGGCCGGCGAAGCCGCCCCCCGGACTGATAATAGTAGAGGATGGCATCAAAGCTGGGCCGATTCCGGTCAAAGAAGTACTCATTGCGCAGGGGGTCAAAGTACCGCATGCGCTTCTTGGGGTTGCCCAGCAGAGTGTTGGGGAACTGGGCTAAGGTCTTCAGCTGCGTCTCAAAGCGTAGTCCAGCAATGTTTATCACTACGCGCTCACAGCACTCATGGTCATCATGGGCAGCGGGCTGGTAGCTATCTTGGGGGTGGCCAGGTAGCGCAGAAGTCTCATCCATGTTCTCTCCAGCCATCACGGTCATGGTGGCACACGGGAAGGGGGACCCAGGGGGAAGGGAGAAGTGAGGGAGAGGGGCTTGAGAGCGGGGAGGAGGATGGAGGAGAGCAGAGAGCCGAAGGGAAGTTCAATGGAGGATGGAGGGGGGTGGCGGGGGGGAGGGAAGGGTCAGAGTCTGCAGAGAGGGATGATGGCTCGGGATCAAGAGCTTGCGGAAGGGATGGATGAGAAGCCTAAAGCATGGAAATATCCCAAAGGGGACAGAAGAGGTGGGATGAAGGGAGAGGCATCAAGGATGATGGGAGGGTGAAAAAAGAGGGGAGAAGTACCTTTAGGGGGGGAAGAGGGCAGGTAAGGTGAGGGGTCCTGTCCCCCAAGCCAGGAGGCTTGAAGGTCTATGGAGTACACCCCCAGGCTGGGGTCCCCTCCCCAGCCGTTTCCTTTTGCCTTTAACTCGATCCGTCCACTTTTCTTGCCGACTCGACCATCTCTGCAGCTGCTGTCACGAAATTACCACACACACACACCACACACACATACACACAAACAAACACATAAATAAATAAACAAATAAATCACGGGGCGGCTAGGAGGCGAGTCCTTGCAATGCCAACTCAGCAAATTTCCATCGCCTGCCCCCCCCCCCCCCCCCCCCCCCCGCGGCTCCTCTCTCACGCGGTGCTCTGGGGAGGGAGGGATGGAGATGCTCTGCTTTTGAAGCTCACTTGCAGGATGGAGGCTGTCAGGGAGGAGAGAAACATAAAAAAACAGCCTCCAAGCCCCACCACACACACACTCTCAGGCACAATGGACTGGCTCTCACACCCGCAAGAACATCCCGCTCTGCCCACTACGGCAGCACATGTGGAGCCCTACGCGTTCCCACGCATCCCTGGACGCGCACCAGAGCATCCAAGGCAAGAAGGGGCCGACA